TCACACAGAAACTCAGGACGCCGTTCTTTTTAATGTTAATATCTCATGTGTTTGACGCTGATTGGTTATGAGCAGTTTGAAATCAGCGTCAAGGACAATTTCAGCTCGGGATGAAATGGAATTCTTTCCTTTTTGTGAAGCTCTTTCTATAAGTCATTCTAGCTTTTGCAGTTTGTGACATTTGGTAATTTGCTCCTTATTGACATTCTTGGTTGTTAATATTTCATAACCTCTCCTGCTCTCGTGGTCCTACAATACACACAGCCCAAGCTGCTCCTCTCCCTCAGGAACAAACCATGAAGATCTTCTCCAGCATGGGATTAAAGCTCCTCAGAGGCGAGCACGCCGAGGAAGAGAGGAGAGATCTCTTCTTTAGCATCGGCTGGTTGGAGCTTGAAAGAGAGAGGTGAAGCTTCACTGATCTCCTGTGTCGGACTGGTCCTTGTTGTTCTCCCCTCCTCTTCCTTCTCACTTTCCTCCTGCTCCGCTAAAGATGAAGCGATTCGTCTAGACTGAGGAGGACGTAGAGATGCCATAAAGTGTCCCCTGCTCTATGGTCTGTTTGACTCTAATGGACCATAATTCACTAAATGAACATCATGATGTGTTGAAGAAGACTTGAGACTAGAGACTGAGACCATAAACTCATGTTTACAATGTTTACTGAGTAAACACCTTGAATAAATCAAGAGAGAAGTGGAGTCATTTCCTCATAGACGTCTATGGGAGCAGAGGAGTCGCCCCCTGCTGGTCACTACAGAGAAGTAGAGTCATTTCCTCATAGACGTCTATGGGAGCAGAGGAGTCGCCCCCTGCTGGTCACTACAGAGAAGTAGAGTCATTTCCTCATAGACGTCTATGGGAGCAGAGGAGTCGCCCCCTGCTGGTCACTACAGAGAAGTGGAGTCATTTCCTCATAGACGTCTATGGGAGCAGAGGAGTCGCCCCCTGCTGGTCACTACAGAGAAGTAGAGTCATTTCCTCATAGACGTCTATGGGAGCAGAGGAGTCGCCCCCTGCTGGTCACTACAGAGAAGTAGAGTCATTTCCTCATAGACGTCTATGGGAGCAGAGGAGTCGCCCCCTGCTGGTCACTACAGAGAAGTAGAGTCATTTCCTCATAGACGTCTATGGGAGCAGAGGAGTCGCCCCCTGCTGGTCACTACAGAGAAGTAGAGTCATTTCCTCATAGACGTCTATGGGAGCAGAGGAGTCGCCCCCTGCTGGTCACTACAGAGAAGTAGAGTCATTTCCTCATAGACGTCTATGGGAGCAGAGGAGTCGCCCCCTGCTGGTCACTACAGAGAAGTGGAGTCATTTCCTCATAGACGTCTATGGGAGCAGAGGAGTCGCCCCCTGCTGGTCACTACAGAGAAGTAGAGTCATTTCCTCATAGACGTCTATGGGAGCAGAGGAGTCGCCCCCTGCTGGTCACTGCACAGAATGCAGCTTTAAGACATGAAGATGAAGAACCAGAGGCTGTCTCCTGGTTTGAACCTCTAACTGACGCCATACCCTCGTCCAACTGCAGGATCACGCCCACCCTCCCTCACCCCCGTTCGTCTGTTGGTATTCTGCTCTGTTGCTTGTCACAGATGTCTGCGTGAAACAAGCGTCGTATTAACACAGCGCCGCCGCCAGACTAAAACGTCTAGCAAGAGTCTTCTGTAATGACAGGCCATTTAGTGTGGACCATGCTGAGATAAATCACATCTGGGTCGATTGGCAAAAGGAAATACTTACCTTTTGTATTTGAGATGCATTGAACACTGTAAGTAATGTACAATTGAAATAAATCATTTAGTACATGACAAAATGCAAATGGCACAAAATGATCCAAAATCCCCCCAAAAAATCGAATTCTGGAGATCTCGCCTGAACTGTCAAAAATAATCTCTAATTAAAGCTGCGAGCAGCGATGAACAGGCCTCCACGTCAACTTGCATGTCGGGGGGGGGCAGTGGTCAGCCGCCCATAAAGAAAAACAACTGGGGAGTGTGGGATTCAAACCACAGTCTGTGACTCCAAACCCAAAGACCCAAAGACCTCTGCTTTCATCAGGTGGATCATCTGCCAGGGAGGATGTGGACAGAGGTCCAGTCATGTCGGTCACAGTGGGACATGTAACGGAAAAAATGGATGTTCCCCTTCAAAATGTTTCATTGTGTGGCCATAATACAGAATTGAGTGTCTCACATCGATAACATGTCCCCAGTCTCTTGGCTGTAGAGACACAACACGTTGGTTTGGAGGCCACCTGTAGGTAGAAGAACTGCCCTGTGAGGGACGAAGGTTCTTGGCCGTCTACTGAGCACGTGGCTCCTTGCAAGGAAATAAACGGAGAAAGACGAATCTGACTCAGAGCCGTGTTCTTATTTACCGATTGTCTGTGCAAAATCTTTCACCACAGACATTTGATTCATTATTTTCAAGCCTGCTTTGTTGATATGGAGGAGACATCTGCACCGCTGTGGCCTCCGAATGAGTGCACCACGATCAAAGCGGTTGCTGGGGCTGCTTTATTGACACGTTTAGGGGGCGCTATCGAGCCAAAATGCCATTAGGAAGGATTGAAATCATATGAAGAAACTGTATCTTTATCTGTAAATGTGTTTTCTGAGTTGGGTAATACTTTGCATATTTAGTCCTTCAAAAGCACCTTCGTTTTGACCTCGAAGAAAACATGAAACAAAACCTTTTTTCATTACTTTTAATCACCAAGGCCGTGGGATTGTTTGGTCAAATTTTGAATTTAGTATATAGAAGTATAGCGTCAAGAAAGTGCAAAAAGTACATAAAATATTCACAAAACAATGTATAACTGACTTCCTGTTCCTTCCAGAGCAGGGCCCTGTTACACATATGTCCAAACATCGTCCTACATGTAGTCAAACACAGCGCTGTGGCTGCTTCATTGAAACAGTGCCAGAGGCGCTATGGAGGCAAACTCCACATCAGCTCTTTAATGTCATCACCTTGGACGCTGACAGATGTTTTCAAGCGTTTTTGAGTTTGCCAAAGTACCGAAGTATCTGCTTGAACTTTCACTGCAACAAAGTTTTTCAAAAACACAAAATATTCACTGTGAACGATCATGAAGGTCTGATGGCTTATCTGCACAAATGTCAGATTAAATGGAGATAGAGACATAAAATTGTAAAACGTTTACATTTCCCTTCTCCAATATGTGGCTATAATTGTTTGAAAACCACTGGATGAGAATACTTTAAGGCCTACACATGACGAATGAGACATTATGCCATAAATCTGAATGTTCCGTGGAGTTATGACATGTTGACATCTTGACATCTCAAGAAAATCAACCAACATGGACACAGGCCAGACAACAAAAACGCTCCCTTTTAATAACTTTTCAATCGGAATTGATCGGCTTTAAACTCTCGGACGAGTTTGTTTGTTTATAAAACGATTTGAAAGGATTGAAGAATTGAAAGTAAAAAGTAAAAACCCGGGTATATTTACTCATGTTGACTCGCTGTGAATGTAGAGATTCGGTGAGGACAGGCCAAATATCTGTTTGACTGTTGTGCCACACAGCTTACACGTCTCATTTGTCCATAACATTGATGAATAATGAGATATCAACAAGCTTTTAATTACTTTAGATGGCATCGGCCCGATAATGATTCCTGAGTGTCGGGGGTTTCGTGAAAAACGTGTTCACAAAATTCGAAATGGCAGAATACGTAGTTAGGTGCATTTGCATATCATGATTGACTTATTGTAGAGAAAACCAGAGAGCATCTGGGTGCAAAGTTTCAAGTCAACTGAAACTGGAAACTGAGAAAAAGTTTCCTTAGGGAGCAGTTTTCTATCCCCAAATCTGCAAGAATTAAAAATGTTTTCTTCAAATGTCCTTCACTTTATCAAAATGAACTTTTGCAGAGAGGACGTTAACTTATTGTGATCTCGTAGAGTTCCGTAGCTATAATGTTATAATTCCAAAGGGCTGAATCATCCTGAACGTGCAAACCTGAAACTTTTTGACTTTGTGCAGTTAAACCATCTTCATTTCAGCCGATATTTACACATCAGGACTAAAAATCACAAGTGTTTCCTTTTTTATGACACCCAGATTATTCAAATAAACCTCATAGTTACAGAGATATGACCTTTTTTATCAAGAGTATGTAAGGCTGTAGATGAACATGCTTTACCAGAGACGGAAGCCACCGATGAAATATGTCCCCTGTCCTCGACCATCTGTCTGTCTGTCTGTCTGTCTGTCTGTCTGTCTGTCTGCTTCTTGTATAATAGCAACGTAGCAACGCGGGGGGGCGTGTTTCATTTAACCAACAAATATTTAAAGGCTGCTTTTTTTACCCTCTAAATTCAGTTAGCAGGTGCTGGTTTGAAGCATCAACCATGTTGCTATGGTTACCTGCAGCTCCATCTGCTAAATCCTTTTGCAGTGAATTAGGAAAGGCGAAGAGCGATTAACATCCCGAAATAATGTCCCACAATGCAGTGCTCTGAGGTCAATCGGGTCTGACGGTGCTAAGCAACCTCTCCTTGACCCCCCCCCCCCCACAAAGAGACACACCGTCACAGGAAGTAGAGCAGAAACCTCCCGAGTGTGTGTGTGTGAGTGAATCTATTTCAGTGTGTGTGTGTGTGTGTGTGTGTCGAAGCTCCACACAGCCGCAGATATTACATCTCCGCTTTATTTATTTCCTGTCACAACTTTGGGATAATTCTCATTAACGGCTTCTAAAATGTTTTAAAAACATTTTAAATCTGCACAACTGAAAAAAAAACATTTTCATTGTTACATCACATTACATCACATGTCATTTAGCTGACGCTTTTATCCAAAGCGACTTCCATAATAACCAACAGTTGTCTGATGGAGTCTGAGCCTCACTGCCTGTTCTTTATTTAAGAATCAATTTTGGGAAGAGAGAAATGTGATCATCTGTTGATGTGACCAGCAGGGGGCGACTCCTCTGCTCCCATAGAAAATACTCTGCTGCTTTAAATGAGGGAACACGATAAAAATGTTTATTAGGTGATAACAAACAAACCAAAGAAGCAAACACAGGCTGTGATCCAGGAGGTAACCTCCAGTTCGTTAAGGTGGAGTGTGAGCTTCACGTGTTTAAGCTGCATTCTCTGTAGTGACCACCAGGGGGCGACTCCTTTGATGGCTCCTCTCGGTGTGATGCGGTCGGCAGAGTACGTGTACAATGGCACAACTCTGCAACTATATTAGCACACGGGTGGTTTTTGGTGGGGGGCCACACACTTTGATCTCACAAGGGCCGGTCTTTCTGTCATTTTCACACTGAGCAAAGTCATCCGGCGGGGCGGATGTTTGACCCCCTGATCTATAAGGTACAACAGTCCAACAAGAATCGTTAAATAAGCTTAGAATATAAAGACAATAAGATTTATATATTCATACATACTGTATAGCGCAGGGTATATAGATATGATGTGTGACAAAGTGTGATGTGTCATGGGTCACACTGAGAGGCGAGCTTTGATTGGATCCTCAGAACTGAACCTCTGCAGCACTGTTACCATGGCAACGTGTCCCACACGTCTTGATGGAGGGACAGAGACAGGCGGCGCTGGCTTCAGGCCGGGACTCTCACGGGGAGCACCTTCATTCTGCAGATCACTGCAGCGGGGTCAAAGGTCAGAGGTCAGGGTCTGCTGCTGTCCGTGGTGCTGGAAGAAGAGAACCCAGGTCAACTTGTGTGTGTATCATCCTGGGCTTTGTAGTTTATTAGAAATAGACTGACAACCAGGTGCCTAAATCAGACCAATTAATCAAATGCATTTAGAGAACACCAGTACACCAGTACACTAGCACACCAGTACACCAGCACACCAGTACACCAGTACAACAGCACACCAGTACACCAGGACACCAGTACACCAGCACACCAGTACACCAGCACACCAGCACACCAGTACACCAGGACACCAGTACACCAGCACACCAGCGCACCAGCACACCAGCACACCAGCACACCAACACACCAGCACACCAGCACACCAGTACACCAGCACACCAGTACACCAGCACACCAGCACACCAGCAGGCTACACGGCGAGGATTTTGAAACTATGTAATCAATAAAGAAATAAGAATTGGGTGATACCGCTGTAATCGATAGAATAATACCAATGCACAGCTATAACTCTATTTAATGTAATGTAATCAAACAAAATGCATGCATGTAATACGTCATAGCTCAACTGAACCGAGAGACATTCAAAAACCAAATTACATTGAACGCACCAGGAGGAGTCACATGTCACATGTGTGGGGCGTGGACGCTGCCTTTCCCACTGATCCGTATAAATACCTGCAGGCACCCTTGTTCCAGGAGCTGGTTGGTGGAGGCAGGAGTCACTATGGGGGGTCCATGGGCTCTGTGGCCGTTTGACCAGCGGCTCCTCAGCTGAGATGTTCTTTTTAGCACAAGACCTTTTACTTCTTCTTTTACTAAACTAAACGTTCTATCCGAGATGTCTTCTGTCCGTCCGGAGTTTCTTTATTTTTCACAATACAACAGCTTCCACCCACACAAAGAGCCTCATGGGTGTAAACAGGACGGCGGATCGTCTCCGTGGCAACAAACCCGGTTAGTGCTGCTTTAACCTCCCGTGCAGCAGCTGTCAGCGACTCCAGTCAAACTTCGTCCCATGTTGTCCTTTAAGTTTAGTCCTGCGAGCTCTGAATGCGGCGTGGACGTGGTCGGAGGTTTGGGGTCACGTCGTCATCAGGGGAAAAATGACTCAATGTTGCTCCGTCATGAAAACCAATTCACTCGACCAGCTTGCTTCTGTTTTCAATTTTCATCGACCCTCATGGTGGATGTGAGGCCCCCTCCTTCTCCACCGCCTCCTCCACCCGCAGCGAGGCCAGCGAGGGGGCTGCCCGATACCGCCATCATGTCCCAGATCGATGCATGCTCCCCATGGGGCGAAAACTTATACACAGTTTAGTTCACGCAGAGGAGGTAAATGAAGTCAGGGCGGCTCCTAATCAGATCTGGTGATGGGGGGGCGAGGGGGGGCAGGGAAGGGGGGCTCGATGCAGGAATCCTATGAAACACAAATTACATCAAGCTTTGTTTGTTCTGGGAACCCAGAAGAGTTATTGGGTTCGATTCTGAGCAGTTTGTTCCACGTTGCAGGAGCAGAAAGAGAAGAGACGTAGATATCGATGTTCTCCGGGGGAGAACTTGTGTCCCCCAGGTGTCCTTTTGTTTCAGTGTCTGCTGCTGCTCCCGTGGCCTCATCCCACTGCTCGGCCAGGCCTCACGACTTGTTATGTACCAACGCTGAGCTGATGGAATGGATTATTAGTATTATAATATGTTGTTATTGTGGCTGATATCACAAAGGTTATTTCAGATACAAACAGGAACGCAGTGTGACGTCATGAATGATATCAGGTCTCCATCGCTGCATCAGCTAAAGGCTCTGTTTGTTGGGGGGTTTGTGACAAAAGAGCGACACTATCTCTGGATTTCAATCATTATTTCCTTTGTGCCGAACATAATAGACTGATGAGCGGTGACCAAGGAGACGGACGAGTCCTCATTCCACTGCAATATTTTGGATTTGTTACATGTCATTTAGCTGACGCTTTTATCCAAATCACTTTTCAATAATTTCAACCATAAGGAAACAAACTCAAAAGAACAAAGAAGAACTCCCTGTTTGTCTTGTTCTCCATTGTTTCATCTAATGGCACAAATGTATATAACCCTTCAAAATATGTCATTGTACGAACAAGGTACTAAAATGCTGGGACGTGTGGCCATGATACAGAATTGAGTGTCTCACACCGATAAGATGTCCCCAGTCTCTGGCTGTAGAGACACAACAAGTTGGTCTGGAGGCCACCTGTGGGTAGAAGAACCGCCCGGCCCGGTTATGGAGGAGGAAGGTTCTTGGCCGTCTACTGAGCACGTGGCTCTTGTGACCTTTTTCCCCTTTCAAGGAAATAAACAGAGAAAGACAAATCTTATTCTTATTTACCAAATCTTCCACAACACTCATTGTTACATCACATCACATCACGTTTCATTTATCTGACGCTTTTATCCAAAGCGACTTACAATAAGAACATTTCAACCATAAGGACACAAACTCAGAAGAACAAGAAACAACAAAGTGCAATTTCCTCAAATAAGCCGATCTACAACTTGCTGTAGAAATGAGCCTCGGGGCCTCGGTCCTCCTTCATTAGCCCTGATGTCTGCAGATAAAACATTTCTGTAGCCCTGATTCCTGTTAAGGGCCTTTGTCACATCTGCCATTATTTATTCACCATTTCTCATCAGTTGGTGACCAGAAATGATGATGCACTTAAGATGGTACTTACTTGTAGCTCTTGATTCTTTTTGTTCTCAGTCGCTGTGGATAAAAACCTCAGATGAATGTAATATTTGTTGTAATTATGTATTAGAACAGTAATCAGCTCGTCTCTAACACAACAAAACAAAACCAGGATCAATATAATTATATGGTATTTCTTTTCATTTGTATCATCAGATGAAAACTCAAAGTGAGGAAAACCATCATGTCTGACCATGTGAGCACAAAGCATCATGGGAACTCAGGTCTCCACCTCTGGTCCAGCAGAGATCCACCTTCTCTGGTGGACCTGAATCCTTGTCCACTGCTCCACTAGAGTCCAATATTTCTTGACCTAACATATTTTTACCTTTTTTCAAACATTCTTTGACTTAACTGACCTATTTGGTGTTTTTCTAAAGATTTTCCGACATAACAGATTTGACTTTTTTTCAAACCCTTTTTCACAATTTTTGTAGACATTTTTTTAAACTATACGTTTACTTGTGTTCCCACAATGCGCCGTGATCCGCAAAATGCATGTTGGCCAAAAGTTACATCACCATCCAGTAAGACGATCGCCCCGTGAAGCGTTTGCCTCCACCTGACGGAGTCCTTCCTTCCTCCTCCTTTCTGTCAACAGAGTACAGAAACAGAATCGAGGAATCTGTTTCTGTATCTTCAGACCCTGTTGGACGAACAGCAGCAGTTTGAATGAATTCACTGAGATACAGACGGCCCTCCAACATGAGCTTTCCTGTACGACAGCAGCATCACGTCGGTGCTTATGGATTTCCTGATGTTGGGAGAGTTGGTGTAGAGCGAGAAGAGAAGGGGACCCAGGACGGAACCCTGAAGAACTCCAGCAGTAAGAGGACAAGGTTCCGACACAGATCCTCTCCAGGTTACCTGGTAGGTGCGGCTGTCGAGGTAGGACGAGAGAAGGGAGAGAGCAGAGCCTGAGACACCAAGTTCCTGAAGGGAGGAGACAAGGATCTGGTGGTTGACTCTGTCAAATGCAGCAGAGAGGTCCAGAAGGACGAGGACAGAGGAGAGAGAGGAGCTCTAGCAGTGTGGAGTTGCTCTGAGACAGCAAGGAGAGCAGTCTCTGTGGAACGGCCTTGAAGCCTGACTGGTGGGGGTCAAGGAGGTTGTTGATCCCTAACCCTAACCCTTGTTAACCCTAACCCTAACCCTTGTTAACCCTAACCCTAACCCTTGTTGATCTGGTGGTGGACTGTGTCAAATGCAGCAGTCAAGAGTCACACACAACGACAGTCAAGTAGATACATTCTGCACATTTTATATTCTAGTATTGTGCTGTTTAGTTTGTTTCTTTGTCTTTTGATTTTGAAATACAGATTTGTGGTGCGGAGGTAGACGACGTGAAGTCATCAAACGACACATCAATGGAACGCAACGTCCTTGGAGCGAGAAATAACAACGCAGACGAAAAGGCTACAAAAATCCACGTTTTTAATGAACATCACTAATTCAGCTTCTCTCTGGGAGTTTTTTTGTGCTTTCTCCCCTATCAGGTCTCTGTAGTTCCTTCTGGACCCTGGTCCTGACACCTGCCGTGGCCCTGTGTACAGACTGTAAAGGCCTCTGAAGCAAATCTAGATGCTACGTTCCTGTGCTACGATGCTACGTTCCTGTAGCATCTGTGATGGCTGGCTGATATGTTGTATTCAGTGTGTATGTAGATAAAGTGATAAAGATATCCGGAGCCGAGAAGTGAATATGTGACATCATATTTATTCAATTGTACCATATGTCATTTCTAATAAAACCCCTGAATAGTGAACTTGAAAGGGTGAACAGAAAGTGGCCATATTGCTTCGCTTTAAGGACCCTTCATTCCCGGCCCATCAAACAGGAAGTGGTGATGGAGAACAGAGGACACGGATGGGGTCCATTCATTGGTTAGCGGGCTCGTCGATACGCTGGATCACACTCTGAATGCTGACAGTCGGAGCGCGAGTGCAGGTTCAGGTGTGTGCGCACAGAGCTGGCGGGTGTTGATGCACTGCAGTGTGTGCGATGGCTCTGCTGGTTTGATTATCGAGTGACAGGACGCTCAGGAGAGGCGCGCCTGGAGGGTTCAGTGGCGACGGGATTAGCATTTTAAAAAGCTCCTCAAATCCTCCTCATAGAAAGCCGGCTGCTCCTCCTCGTTCCCCGGTCTGATTCCCACACCTCACCCCCTGCTGGGTCTGATCCACGATGTTTATTCAGTTTGATCCCAGGTGAATGTGAGGACGTCACGCTCTAGACCCCAAAGCTCTCTGAACATGTTCCTTGAACACATCAAGTTTCTGTCAGAAAAAACGTCAAAACAAACTTCTTCAGTAAATTCTCAGTGAAAGTATGACTTTGTTTGTGGGGTGATGGAGTAGAGCGGCTGCGCCGGGAACTGCAAGGTTGGTGGTTCGAACCCCGACTGCCCCATGCCACAAGTGTTCCTGAGCAAGACACTCAACCCCTGACTGCCCCCTGGGCGAAATGCAAAACAACGGCTTAAAATGCAACGTAAGTCACTTTGGATAAAAGCGTCAGCGAACGTCATCTGTTGGTTGATGCTCCCGCTGCATCTTGTTTGGGTGAGGAAGTGTTTCCACAGGTAAATGTATAAACAATATATATATGATTGACATGCAACGTGTTCTGTAGCACTTGCCATGAATGCTGGAGGAGACCCGTCTGATTTGAGGGGTCTTATTTATATATTTATATATATATATACATCGCCGATGTTGTGAGGGACGGAGCGTTTTTATCCTTCAAAATAAAACTAATACAATGATCTGACAAAAATAAATTGAGTGAAGGTTACATCAAACATCTGTAAAATCTTTTCCCCACTTTACATGAATTAAGATATTTTACTGTTAGTTTAGCAAACATTGCTGCCAGTCATTTAACAGTTTTTTCCCTCTTTTTTTACAGTGTATATCATATTAATGAAAACATGAATAATAATAGTACATCATGATGTCATATACTGTGTATATATTTATTTATGTTTAGAAATATGTAGATTAAATCCCACTGTGTTCACATTATTCAGTTTCATTCAAAGCTCCTGTTTCTTCTCTGGAGGGTTTTATGATGTTTCATTTCCTTCGTTCCTCTCAAGGCTTTGAAACATCAGAGGAACCAAACTGCTCTGTCAGCACAAACCACAGAACTCAGTTCTTCTCAGGTTTTTTTGGTAGAATTGGTAGAAAGACGACAGATCACATGGAGACTATTTCATGCCGCCCCTTTCGAACCAAATCAGCCGAGTTGAGCAGAAATCTTAAACCGACCTGGGTCCCGCCTGGTGCTGAAGTGGCTGCCCGCCTGAACCCGACCCGGCAGAACTGGTGTCACTCAACATAAAGGCTCACTCTATTTGGACTTATAATACAATATTTATAAGTTATATAAAAATGTGATTCCTTTCAAATCTTCAGTCATACTTCTCTTCATTCTCTTTGTGGACTTTATTTAGACACCTGTCCTTTATCTAATAAGATTGCCCTTTATTGGCGTCGGGTCGGAGGGTTTCCATGGAAACGCTGGGGTTGGGTTGAGCGCTGGTGCAGGTCTGTATCACGGTGTTCACAACAGGCCTATCGGAGGGTTCTCTTTGCCTCATTAGCCATGATAGCCTGATTAGCTGTGTGGCTAACGAGTCAGTTGGCTGGTTCACGCTTCAATACCTCATCCAACCTCATCCAACCTCATCCAACCTCCCTTTGTGTTCTGGGGACAAATGTTGGATCTGTTTGTGCTTTGTAACGTGTGCGTCATCAACAGTCGGTGTGAAGGGAGACGGTTCAGAGACGAGGCCCGAACACGACGGCAGCTGAGCGGGACGAGATCGAAGGACGGTCTGTCTCTTGTTTTCATTGTTCCCTATCGGACCTGCAGGACAACAGCCACACTTTGCTCATCAGATCATCAGCATCTGACCCTCCACCACGTCCTCCTGTCTCATTGTGACTGAGCTGGTGACTCCGCTCAGACATATTAAATAAAGAGCAAAGAACGCTAGCGTTACCCAGGGGACGCTTAGCTTAGCATAGTTTAGCTTAGCATATCTTAGCATATCTTAGCATAGTTTAGCTTAGCTTAGCTTAGCTTAGCATAGCATAGCATAGCTTAGCATAGCTTAGCTTAGCTTAACGGCCACAAACAGGGATACAAATAAAGACACGACCAAAGTCATCATAAGGCCCTGGTGCTAGAAGGGTGTCCCTTAATTAAAGAGACAAATTCCAACCAGGAAGAGACTCTCAATGTCCTCCAGGAACCAGAACAAAGACACAAAATAAAGACAAAGGTACACAAGACCAAACCAAAGAGACACACACATTGACTAGAAGGATAGAGAAGCAGAACTACTTCAACGAGATACAAAAGCAATTAAAAAGATAAACCAGATGAATTCTGAGAGACACAAAAAGCCAAAA